AATATGATATATTTTTTTTGAAAAATATGAAATTAGAATAATTAAGAAGAAATTAATTACCATTTGATTATCTAGATTTTCTCTATAATGAATAAATTCTCTAAAGGAATATTTAAATAGAAACTGATAAGACATTACCATTCCACAGTTCAAGTTCTTTTTCCCACAATGCTTTCTATCATTATACTCTCTTAAATCTCTTTTGCATATGAAAATAAACGCGTTCCCTCGTTACAAATAGAGTACAATATAATGTACCCAATAAACAAGTGAAAACGTCAGATGATCACTCTCAGAAATCGTAATCCTTTCCACGAGTATCTCTTTAAGTGGTAAAATATAGTTTAAACTCGTTCAAGAACAAAAGGAACTTTCTCTGTCTAGTCGGAAACTAAACCTCTCGGTTGAATTGTAACTTAAAAAAACGATCTTTACTCGACAAAAGCAGGAAGTTTCACTATAAATTAAACTCTTCACCCATATTGTTGGAACAATGTTCATTAGCATCGAAAACTTTTACCTGTTTCGTTGAACTTTGGAAAACAAGCGTCACGAGTGTTCTGTATTTTTTTTCTCCCGTGGCCAATTTCCAGACAGGCGGTGGTTGATCGTTGAAAAAGGAAAGTTTTCACGGGAGCCAGCTTTTTACAATCGTCCTGGAAATGAACGATCACGGTGAGCTATATAATTGTAGCAATTTCGCGTGGCGCATTCACCGGACAGAAATCTTTCGTCAGATTGTACTTCGTTAGGCTAGCGAAACAATTTATAAGTAGGAAAGCAGGACGATTGACCTGGTAATAAATCATACTTACCAGCTTACTTTGTCGTTGTAAAAGGATTCGGTGAAACCAATTCTCGTGATTACTATCAAACGTTCAGGTAACTTTTGGTCCTGCTGTTCTGTAATAAGAAAAAGGAATTAGAAGTCAGAATTTTTGTTTCTGTGATTATTATATTGTTCACTCTTTCTTTAATTACAGCTGTTCGCAAAAAACGGTATTGCACATAGTAACATAGACAATCTGCAATTTTTTTGCCAGCACTCACACCCTAGAAACTCTAGGAATTTATAAGTGCAGCCCCAGGGCCCGAAATACTTTCTGGGTCGTCGTGTTTGCGAAATTATGCCCCGGGTCAAATTTGCACATTGTTCGTTCAAGGGTCGTGAAATTTGACATTTAACTTCCTACAAAAATAGATCCTTTTGCTGGGTTCTGTTTTTCAAAGTCTTTCGCGGTCAATTTTTCCACTAATGGAACAGTGTGCACCGATAATTTATCGCTTTATTAAATTGCCATCTGTTGCTTTGACGGGAGTCATTTTTTCCTTCATTGACAAGTACTTAACGCGACGTAACGAACTACTTCTTAGCGAACAATTAACGATGAAATAAGTGGCATGTTTACTTGAACGTCTTCTTGGGAGTGTATAGGAAGAACGATTGGAGCTATGAATTCCCAAATAGTACAAGTTCTTAAGCATTCTTTGAACCATGTGACATTAGACAATGCAAATGAAGCGCGACAGGTGCACGAAGGATCTATTTACAGGAGATACTTCGCTACGCAGTGACCCAATTAATGACGTTTAATTACTATCGAGGGACATGTGTAGAGGCAGTGCAGCACGACAGTGTTGCAATCCCAAAGAATTCGTCGAGTGTAGTTATCTGCCGGTAGTACAACGTCGGTAGCAGATAACTACTGATAACCGAGGAACGAAAATATCCTCTTGCATATAGTTCTGCATTATGTTTGCATACTATTGTTGACTCTTGATGCTGTAATTACTTTGTTGACACTGCTTACCTATGCACACGATGATCTCACTTAAAAAGTCAAATTCCTTGCCACGAATGACGTATTCTTTTTTATTATTTCACGAAAATGATTATTCTGATTAACGTATTTCGTTATTAACGAAAGGAAAAATCCATTAAGGACGAATATCCTGACAGGATAAAATTGAACATGTCTCAGAAATTCTGTTTGATCCAAATTTTTCTTTTAAGGTATTAATGAATTTTCAAAACTTGAAGAATCCATGGACTTTCAGGACCAAACTTACGACTCTGGTAAACTTAAACAGAGATCGTTTTCTGCGATTCCCATGAAACTACAATCTCTACAACATGCTCGATCGTTTTCTTCTAGTTTCAAACTAGACCCGAACGTGTATTATGTAAGAAGGTGGCCGGATGAACGGTAGAAAAAGTAGGGTCTAGAACTAGGATAGTGGTATCTGACGATTGTGGATTTACAAACGAACAGCGTGTAAAATTGGACAGGAAATTCGTAGTTTGCGTAGATTCATTCGGATCTTGATAATATTTTTGCAATTCAAAGCAGTCTTTTAATTAAATCTCGTCCTACACTGGTACAGCTAGTTACCGTTTCAAACTGGTCAGTTCTTATTGAACAACGTAAAAAGAATGAAATTTTGTATGTTGCTCCGTTATGCGTAGAATTCATTTTGCATGTATAAGGTATTTTCAATAAATCATGTTGAAAGTGAACTTTCCATCGATACGCAGTTGTTGCTTGTAGAATGACTTTGTGATGCGACGATAGCGACTCGAAGATGACTGATTTGCAATTCCTTTTGCGACATTAACTTCATCGTTAACTCTACTGAACCACAGGAATCTCATTTCGATTCTATATTAATTTTTTCCAATATTTCTATAAATTACGTTGCACATTTCTTCATTAATATTTTCCAGTTAATAGAATGTTCTGAATCGAATTCCTCGATTTGTAATTCCTCAGATGGAAGACACGTGATCAAACCATTTACATAAAGTGGAATGTCCTAAATCTGTTCAGTCACGTTTGCATTAACAGGCAAACTGAAATTTTCTTTGATATAACCATGCGTCAGTTGAACGTACATACGTAACGCAAATATCAGTAATACGAGACGATGATAAGGTAAGTGAGTTATGTAAATGAGATATCGTAAAAGTATTTGAAACAGGAATGATAGTGGAAGAATTCTGAAATTTCTTCCATATCCTTCGGGAGCGGATCGCGAAACAAACGATCCAGCGGCTTTTGAATGAGTTTTTGAGTGGGGCCACGTTGATGAAGAAGCCGGAGGTGGAGGAGGTGAGAAAGGAGGGATTCGCGTGTCGATTGGGGGGAGGACAAGCAGTGGAGAACAGCGATATATGAAGGCGAAACTCGCGCTCCGCAGACTCAATAGCCCAGAGACCCCACGTGGTGTATACCATTGCGAATTCTACATTTTTCTTCATCCTCTTCATCTTCCGTTTAAAGGTGACCGGTGTGACGGTTCGCCAAAGTTCTTCGTTACGCCAAAGAAAATCGCGATAGTACGAGCCGGAGATCCGGCTGATAAGTTGTTTAGCATTGTCTTCTTCTTTCGAAAGGGTCTTTTGTCTTGGACGAAAAGAGACTGTTTATTGTGATCGGTGATCGGTGATCGATAGTCACGGGTGATGTTAGGCGAGTTTCGACGAAAGAGCAATCGCGTTGAGTACTGTGGAAATCAAGAATAAGGGTGGTAGAAGGAAACATTAAGTTATTAACGTCTACCTTGAGGTATCGGCTGAAAAATGAGTAAAGGGTGGAAAGGTATGTTTCATTTTATAATATAATTAGGAGTAATCACTTTGCGTTGATTTTTCAGATTTAAAGTATGAAAAAAATAATAATTCAATACTTTGAATAATAGGCTATCATAAATTAAAAAATTCATTTATATTATAAAATAATAATTGATTTCTATCAAAAAAAATAATGAGACGAAATTGTCGAATCATCAAATTGCCGTATTAAAATAAATGACAATTTCATCGAATTTAATGTGCAAATCATAGTGAATCAAACTGCTCATCCATGAGAAGCATGAAAGATTAAAATGCAGGTGCATTATCATTAATTTCAATTTTGAAAAATATGAAGCCCCTTAAATACTCTGGTCTCTTGTCGTTAGAAAAGTTTGAAACTATTCGAAATGGTGAACACGCATATCGGCGATATCCCCGTTTCCGTCTGCTGGTTCGATAATAAATTACACAGGAAACATTTCTGTCGCTTCACGGTACACGGCTCATTATAAAAGGACTTAAACGGTAAAACCGTTTGTACAAGTGATGAAACATGACACAAATGTTCCTATTTTCAGCCTCTGGAACTTTCATCCTGCGTTCAACTATTGAGATTTCCCATCACCATTATTGAGATTTCTTATCACCATTATGCACGATTGTTTGATTTTTTCTTAATATTTCATGTTCAAAAACATGTAACACGATTTATGATCAATTCCCGATAAAATAGAGTTTTGACATTAATCGATGATGTTTTATCTCGTTAGTCAATATTGATTACAAATTGCTACACAATTTTAAGACACTGATACATTGCGATTAAATCAGATATTAAAGAAAAATATTGGGAAACGATCTTAATAGTACAGGTATTGATTATCGATACTATTACAAGTCCATCTAAAAATTTTTTTTCAACCGTATAAATTTGAATTTTTAATCATTTACGTCAATTTTGTTCCGAAGAAACTTGTTTAAAAGAAACTGCATGAAAATAATGCATTTTGAAAAATATTTTTCCATCAGTCTCCATATTCAAAGTCCAAATTTAATCCACGTTTTATTACTTGCTTAAGAATAATAACAAAATTTCAACATCATCATCGTTCTATGAAAAACCTTCTCTCGGAATTTGTTTACACTTTCTGGTCTTATTTTATGCAATGTCTCAACTTTGCGTCATTCGTTTCATTGACTTCAATGACGTAATCGTTCCACAAGAAAGAAAGAAAGAAAATAAGAATAAAGTTTGGGATTGAAATTCATCTCAACGAAATAATTTATCATCTCCGGTTGACGTCTATAGAAGTATCGTCACGTATTGACACGTGCCAACTTTCATTCAAGGGAAACAATGAAATATCATTTTTACCATTATCGAATGTTTAACTTACACTTTTTTGTTTCCTTTTTTTTTGTGCAGGTGCAAAAGACTTCGTCGGCCTCGAAGAGGTGACGAAGGTCGAGTTTCTGGTCATGTTGTTCGCTGAGGCTCTTGGAACGTTTCTTCTGGTTCTGATCGGTTGCGCATCCTGCATCACCTGGACAGCAGACAATCCACCCACTGTGGTGCATATCGCGTTCACCTTTGGCCTGGCCGTCGCGAGTTTGGCACATGTAAGTTTTTGATAAACAATTTTATTATTCTTTATGGATGGTATAAAACTTCTCTAGGAAAGAAGGCTCCACCACTTGAGTATTATCTATTATCTAATAAAACACAACCCGATAATAATTTAGTATCGAGCAAATATTTCGTTATTGATCATCAAATTTTCAAGAGATCGATCAAATTTCTTTCGAAGTAAAATCTTGTCTCGTTCGTGCATTGATTGCGTATTTGCACAATTAGAATTCTAATTAAATAAAAAAAAAGCAAGATAGTGAATGTCTGATGTAATTGCAAATTAAGTGTTGAAGACACAATAAGGTAGAGAAATGAGGTAGTAGAAAGAGTACCGTAAGCAGGCAGGAATCAGTAATAGGAAAAAATTTATCACTGAATTTAAGGTCGTAATTAAGGAAGTAGTAAATAACACGAGTTCATAGAAAGACCCGTAACAGATTACGTACTCGCGTTGAAACGCATAACTCATGAAAAAAGTTCTAATTGTAGGACATATAAAATACAAGAAATCATAAAACTCCATAGAAATACGGCGGGGAATAAAAACAAAGTTGTCATTTTCGGTGGATGATTTATCAAAATTTCAAGTATCCTCTTATCTTTTGGTTCTAGCATTATTTCGCGTGCTACGCACGTGATAAATCGCTTACCAACTTACATTTGTTTGATTTTATTGAATGGACAAAAGTAATCGTGTTCTCGACTCGTCCCAAAAGAACTGTCCACAATGGATACCCTGGGGAGAAGAACAAGAAAGAGAGGGGATTCCATTCACCTCGATGAACTGTCGTCTTTCACGAACAAGTTGCTTTCATTACTCTCACTATCATTCTCACGTTCATTCGTCGACGGTGCCACTTTCATGGTCGATTAGCAAATTGGGAATTAATCTGTTCCTTGAATAATCTCACACGTGTACTAATTATTCATCGCCGCAAACAAACTGAATTTTTGCTGATGTTAGGTTTCTGTATTGTTCTTTTGTTAATATTTGTTATACTGGGACCACCGGCAATAAACGCGGTAATTAATGCGAGAGAAAATTACCTGCTAGGTTCTACATTAATCACAACAATGGGGCGCAATACCCGTGAAAATTCTTTGATGTATGAAAAAAGACCGCCATCCGAGCTATTGTTTAACGCCTAATGTCATTAACAATGATGTTTGAAAATTAGCGCGTTTTGAAATCGCATCGGGATTAAAGATTCAGTAAATTATTCTTAGAAGCAAAGTAAATCCTTATAAGATTAATCTGTCAGTTACCTATATATAATCCCTATAATATGAAAGGATTAAAGAAAAATCGATAATTATTTAACGATTGGTTAAATTAACCTACATCAACCGTATAATTAAGAAATTTAATTCAAAATATTTATACGAAGTATGCAAATTAATAAATACTTCAGAAGATAAATCTCAAACGAACGTGAACATCATCTTTATACACTCGGCGTTAAGTTTCTTCGTCTTTGTAAGAATATCAATTTAAAAATGATACTTTCAACTGGCGATAATTAATGATATATCGTGTTTAATATAATATTCGTCGATCGGGGGACGAAGTTAAAAAACAGGTTACACACTGGTGGTCGGCAGTCATTATCACGACAGAAAAGTTGAAGTGCGAAGTGCTAACAGTCGAACGTGCAACATTTTTATCGTATCGTGAGTCTTTAACCGAAGTAAATCTTATTTTAAAGGCGACCCATTTTCGCCCTCGAAACATTACTTCGCTTTCAGCCGAATGTCGGCTTTCGCAACTGCTCTCAAGCTCGATACCAAGACAATTTGACAATCAATTTCTGGGATCTATTCCTCGTTCCTTTTTTTAAATAACGTTAATTTTATCAAAATTTCAATATGTGAAACTTCTCATACTTTACTTACAATAAAACATGCTATAAAAGATACAGAGACCACAGAAAAACGCTAGACGATAACGTAGACGCGAAGAAACTATTAGAATTTAATAGAATTCCTCAAACAAGTAAATTTAATAAACAGAATTTAAAATTGTATTAAAATAATAATAATGAATTTTAGCATCGGAGAATTAGAATCTAACTAGATGATCATTGAAAGTGAAAAAAAGAAATGTCGGTGAATCGAAAGAAGTCGAAGTCGTTTAACCCGATCGTGTTCGCATAATTGCTTAACGAGGCGTAGGAAGGTCGAACACGTGGGAGGTAGCTGGTTCACGAAATCAGCAATTTGCCGGGCTTGCCACCTTTAGCAACTAGACTGCCTGTCTCTTTCACGGCGTCGATCTTCACCGGAAGGCATGTCAGCCTTCTCCTGCGGAGAACACGCGTTCGACTTGAATCGCCTTGCCTCCGCATTCATTGACATTTCGACAAAAAAATCATTCAGTCCCGAGACCCTGAATGACTGACATCAAGTCCCAACCAGCTCTATTACTATATAGGAAAATTTGGGACGGAAATGATTCGCGTAATTGATTGTCTCTATTACATATAATTAATGAATCTATTAGATCATCCTAGAGTTAGGCATAGATAATGAATTAATTTTCATTTTAATAATTTTCTATTCCACTTTAAATGAAATTATTGAAAATAGTATCTGAATAAAAGTGACCATAATTATTTTTTAAAACAATTATCGGTAATTCGAAGCTCATAGATTGCCAATATTTTCTTCCAACATCTTTTTCCCAGCTGAAAAGGTAGTCGAATGTATAATAAGCCAAGAGAAACTAACGAGTCTCTTGGCGAATTACTAATTCACTATCTCTTTCTATATCTTCTGCCTTTCTCGGCATGCTACGGAATAACGAACTAGCCTAACGGATACCTCGAAGTGGTCTGCAGAGTTAGTTCATCCTTAGTTTCAGGTGGTCACAGTTCGCTAGTATTTACTACTTGTCTGAGTTTACCTTCGCTGTGTGTGCAACGTTAACGAGTAAGTGGAAGTGAACGAACAAGAAAGGAGAGAAAAAAAAATATTAATTGGATGCTTTAGGGGTAGCTTGATAAATGAACAACGATCCTTCACAAATAAGCTTAATAAAGCAATCAGTGTTATCATATTAGACTTGTTAGAAACGTTGTTTCCTTCACTGGGTAAATTTAATCAGAAAATTTATTTATCTATAATTCCGAGTAGATAATTAAAAATACTGATAATGAAGTAATTCAAAGAATCCTATAAAAATTCTAGCATCGCTCGCATACGAGTTAAGAATCATCAGACATTAAGATTGAAATTAATCTAGCATAAAGTACCACTCTAGAGTACTTTCATGTCATGAAATGGTATCAGAGTCGGGATATTTCAAAATCCACCATTTGATACGTTTTTATCATCAATCAAACGTGATCCATGCCAGTCAAAGGGATCAAAGTAGAAAGTAAAGATCCGTTTCCTACAGTAGATCTAAGATTTTCAAGGTAACACGAACCCGAAGCGTAAAGCTGGCAATTTTGAAAGCGTATCTCGAAGCAAACCGTTTCAATGGCCGCGGTTTCTTTGCCAACAGCAGTCAAACACCTCGGAATGAATACGATATAAGGACACAGGTTGAACCCTAACCGTGCTACAGATAGAGAGAAAAAGAGAAGGATAGACATTTTTAAACGTTTTATCGCGCGCGTGCAGCGCCTTTTACGTTTATACGCGTTACGTATGCACACGCGTGTACTCCGTTTTACACGTGACGTTAACCCGAGATCTCAGAAAGCCGCCGGCACGTTGGTAGAAGGGTAAATAAGGCCGCTGATTCGCCCAAGGGGGTCTAACTGTCCGGATGGTGCAATTCTGCCCCGAAGGCTCCGACAACCTACTCGAGACTCGCCTCGAACCTTCCGATCGACTAATGTGACTCTTGTTCTGTCTCTTTTGATACTTTACTTTCCGACAGCTCGCCCAATGGACATGGATATTTATAGTACCATTCGATATTTCCAGGGGGTCTCCCTTTTTCCACTATTCCTTTTTCTCATATTTTCAATTAATTCTGAATCAAGTATTTTTCTTAAATTATTTATACATCTTAGTAATTTATTTTAAATAATATAGACTGTCAAATTAGTTGCCCAATTCGTTCTGAAGAATACTTGAAAATCGACATTGTCATCAGCTTGGAAGATAAATATATTCCCCGAAACATACGTTCGAATGAATAATTAATGCAACTCGGTCATTCTTTGTTGGCCTGCCCTTTTCTTGCCGAGAGACACGACGCGTTCGAACAATGGGAAGGAATGTTAAAAAGAAGAGATCGAAAGGGAAACGAAGGAAAGACATCAAAGTCACAGCCGTCACGACTCGTATGCAAATCACACGTTTCCCGCCCTGTATTATGTGTCATTTGTTGTGAACCAACCAGGAATTGTTAAAGAGGAAGACGCATAAACGTTGCATAACCATGTCGCGAAATATGAATCGTAAAAACAATAACAATGCCGTGAATGATTTCACAAGACAATAGCTTTGACATGGTGTTATGTATTCATTTGAAGAGCTACGGCTTATTAAGTGGTCGCAAATGAAACAAGCAAATGCTTTATGGAATTTATAACTAAAGGGATGAAAACACCTCCTTAACTCATTTTTTATCATAAACCAATTTTGAGACAATTGGTTGTTATTGTGTAAGCTGGACCATCCCACGTGAAATGGGGTGAAGGACTTCTGTGGAGAGGGGGATTAAAGTGTTAACAAACGATGAAGATTAATAAGTTATTATAGATTGATCGAAAATTGAACGACTGATTCATCGCTGTAGTAATTGCTTCTTAGCTGTAGGCAAATTATTTTATCCCATACTCGAAACGAGTACTCAGGAAACTATCAAAATAACCATTCAAACCACCATTAATGTGTCAGGATTCTTTTGATGTATTACAAGGTTGCTGCTTCTTTAAAGTGAGAAGAAAACATTATTAAAAATCGATCGATCAAATGGAAATGAAAGCAATCGTGAAAGTGATATTCCAAAATTTTAGTCTCATTAATTTTTTTTATATTTCATAATACTTTTGCATAAATTGCACTTTTAATTTTCCTATCATCAGATATTAAGATAAAATGAGTTTGTTTTGAAATATTCATAAATTCTGCTAATTATAAACAAAAATACAGAACGCATTCCGCGAGAAAAATAAAATTGCAATTGAATACAAATTTACTCTCACTGATTGCCGATTGCAAGATGTTCCAATTGAGACCCAACTCTGTACAAAAAAAATGTAATGGAGAAAAAAATCCTGTTTACCGCGATGAAACAGAAATGTTTATACACTGCCACACGGTATAAAAATAAAAACGCGTGTACCGCGTGACACCTGCAACAGCTAAGCCGGGTAACGTCATCAGCGGTCCAACACGGTGCATCAGATAAGCGACAGATATTTTTCATTTACGTAATCAAAGGTGCAAGCTCCCCAGGTAACAGTTGATTAAAGCATACTATCATTTTTCACCGTTTTTAAAGGGTTCAAGTTGGCAAATTTTACAAGAAAATGGTGTTAGAAGAGTATTTAGCATTTCAAATGATCAATAATGATCACAGATTTATCAAGTAGCTTTCAATTAATAACTGAGAGTTTTAAAGAGCTTGCTAACAGTTGCAGTACCAAAATTAGTACTTATGAAACATGCATCAAACTGACCTAGCATTATTTTGTTCAGGTATTTGAGCTTTGAATAGTCATTTAACAAAGATTCAGTGGAAAGTAGAAATTTAATAGATGGTTGTACGATGATAATTTCACATGGGACTGTCTTAATGTTGCAACTTTGTTGTAACTTTTGTCTTTTAAGAAAAGATTGCATCGAAAGTGGAAGTTCATTAAAGGAAATTATACTCATGTATACCATTAATTGATGTTAATTATAGGCCTTTGTGAAACGAAACTTTCTATTAGATCGGTGCATATCAAACGACGGATTTCGAAACATAGGAAGTCTGACATGATTTGATGACATAAAATGATCACGTTAATAGCAGTTGTGATCATTTAGAAAAAATATTTCTGAAGAGCACCAATAAGTTAATAAAATATTATATGAAATCGCAATTTTCTTGGAACAATTCAGTGTTCCGCTTAAAATTCGCGATAATATCGATCCTGTCGTAACAAGCATGTATCCTTCGGCAAATATTAGAGTCATCTTGCTGGAGGTCTTTTGGGAGGCCTATGAGAAGACCGCTCCCTGATCTCGAGCTATTGTGCAACGTGATCCACGAGCGAAAGAAAGATCATTGTCCCGTATGATCGTACGTGAACCTTGCAACTCGTGTGCAAGTCTCTGCACCCTAATTATGCAGCCACGAAGCAAAACCAACATCGCCATGCTCGGTGAATTTTACAGAAATTCATTTTAACTTGGTACATTTATACAATTAACTCTTCTAATCTAACTTAGCCTTATCGTATCCTTTAGGACTTTGTTATTTTATCAAATACCTAGAATTTCTATTTTTGCCAAGTGTTGACACGAATTCTATCGGTCTTATAGCAATAAATGATAAGATACCATATTATAGCAATAAATCAATTAATATACTTGGATAGTCAAAGACTCGTTATCATCGAAAGTTTTTTCACGTGGTCCTAATTATTATAATTTTCTTTGGTTTTTCATATTTTCCTGTATAAACAAAGGGTTTACTATGTTCAGTAAGCTAACGTCTCGGAAAGAAAATCAATTTCTCAAAATATCCTTTCGACACGATAGACGTTTACAAATTGTATAGTTAGTTTCTGAAACACGTGATTAATTGATTTTCGACTATGGTTAAATATGACGTGTACGACATCAGAATGAATCTCTATGATACGTTTGTGAAAACGAGAGCAGAGGTATAAGCCGCGTAGCGTGCAATAAACGTGTCCCGAGGCTGTGGGTCGTGGAACCCTGAGGGGACGAAATCTATGAGCTAATTCGAACCTCCTGCGATTCTTAATAAACTTACGCTATTCAACAGCGCGTTCCGCAATATCGAAATCCTTGAATGAATTACACCATCGTAACTGACTAGAAAGACTCGTCTCAAAGATTTATTAATATAGCGAATTCTGTAAGAGATAAGAAGAGTAAATATCGAAGAAGGAAATAAAATGTATGGAATCGATGTTACAATCAGGTATTTATTTATTTACTAAATTTATAGAAATTTCAACAACCCAAGAACAACCCGATAGAAATTCGTCGAAAAAAGACTAATTTCGAGATGATATAAAAATCTCGTTCGAATATCGAGAAAAAAATGGAGGCAGTGCGTCGACCTCGTTTCAGTATCTCACGAATCCCCGAAGTTCACGATTTTCAGCGCGTGCCCGTTTCACGAAGGTGTTTCGCCACCGGTAAATCCCATCGTACGTCTACGGTATCTAGACACTTTGCAGAATTAATAATTCAAGATTAATGCAAGATAAGGCGGTCCTGAACTCGCGTGTGCCACAACAAGAAGAGGGCGTACGGGCGAAAAAAAGAAGTTTTATCGAGGTGCAAGTTGCCGAATAAAAAAAAAATATATATATATATATATACATATACATATAAGCCTGACTTCGTTTATTGCTTTTCTTGGAACAACGAGCGAGGGCGAAGGACGCACGGTGAAAAGTGAAGCAACACTTTCCCCTTTGTAAGATTCGCGAGTAACAGACTGCGGTTTGATAGGCGTGTCGAGAGACGCGTATTAATTAAAATCGCGCGAGATATGATTTTTTTCATTCGGCACAAGGTCTCCGGTGTCCGTGGACAAAATTCACTTTAAGAAGAAGCATCCTTTTAAAGCAAGAACCTCTTCATCCTGTAATTGCTGTTCTCGCGCGGCCGATCTTTGATTAAAGGACCACGCGCGCGTCGTTCGCGCTCGATCTTGTAATTAATAAAATCAATTAACCGGTATCTCGCCGTTTGATCTTCCCTCGAAGCAGTCGGAAATTTATGCTATACATGCAACTGGTAGCCGATCGCGGTATCGGGCGAGGATGACTACCGAAAGAAAAAGAGGATCGAAGTAGAAGGAGGTGGAGAACAAGAAGAGTGGAAAAACGTACGATCCAAGAAGATGGCTTGCGTAATCGCAGCGCATGTGTACCGATCGCCTGAGGCAAACCGAGACCTTGCCGACATGCATGAGAACTGGGCCGCGCTGGGACCCACCGCCATTACACACCGATTCTACCGCACTCAAATCGGCCCAGCCACCAAACTAGACGGCATTTAAACTTCCCTCGTTTCTCCTTCTATTCAACTATTTACCCTTGATAAATATTTTTCTCAATCAGACGTTATAACACAAAAATATCCAACAACATTACAGTTTTTCAGCTATCCGCCAAGTATTTATTGCCTCTATTCTACTTTTCCACAATGAAAATATATGAAAGGAAAGGAGAACGAATCAATCGCTTTACGTCAATCTTTTTTAAGCCCCGGTTCGTCATTTATACTGGCCACAAAAGAAGCACGGATACGCGTACATTTATTGCCTCGAGTTTGCAAGATGAATTAAGGGCAACTGTGTCTTGCTGTGCAAGACACACGAGAGACGAAACGATGGCATGCATCTCAAGGGCTTGCCAAACGAGAAAATACTCTACCACGAAAAATCCGCTTATGAAATGGTTGTACCTCGTGGAACTTTGCTGGTCAATTCCACGGCGATATTTTGTAAACACCAGCCAGCTAGATTCAACAAAACAGGACCTTGATTTCGCCACGGATATGTGGAGCAGTGTAAAATCGTTAGGAAATCATTCGTGTCGTGAGATAAGCGCAAGATCTCTTTATCGGTACTCGTGTTGCCCGACCATGAGAGATTGCGAAACTTGAATTAGAATTAGAGAATTTGTTGTTTCTTTTTTTGTAAGAACCAGCGCGGATTACATTCGCTGCCAGATTTTAGAGCAAACTTATATACCTTATCTGTTTCACGTAACGTGCAAGCACGCTACCAATTTCTACTGGGAAAACGAGTAAATCATGCGAGTTTACTTACATGGTTGTACCGAGGTCTGATAAAGATCCAGAATTCTTCGCTCTTCTAGGTTGACAGTAATGTGGATGTCTTATAGGATGTCACTGGAATGTTGTAGACACTGTGTTGTTGTTACGTGTGGAATATCCTGAGGAATTTTGGAACAGAATGTAAATGACTTGGGAAAGGCAAATATTTCAAAAATGAAATTTAGATGGATCTCTTCTTACGTTAACCTGTTTTCTTGTTTCAGGTATTAGGTCCAGTTTCAGGGTGTCACGTAAATCCAGCGGTATCAGTGGGTCTTTTAGTTAGCGGAAACTGCAGTTTTCTTAAAGCATTGTGCTACATAGTGTGTCAGTGTTGCGGTGCGATAGCAGGTTCTGCAGTTTTGAAGGTAAATTTTCAGTTCCTCATTTTTTTTTCTTCTTTCTGCAAACCAATTGCGTCTGTTAATCTACTGTACATCGAAAAATACTCTCCGATCATAACATGTTAATTAAAAGGTTCGCGAAGGTCAAGGTCTTTACCATCTGTTTACCAGACATTGGTTACATCAGAAGCAAACGAGTTAAACGAATTCCAAACACACGGGAGATGAATGACGTTTGATTCCTTCATGACAGTTGATTCATGCGCGTATTAATTCCTATGATTAACCCTTACATCAACGTGTAATTACTCCGTAATGTCTAATATAGTGAAAACGAGTGAGCACAAATTAAATTGTCAAAATGTCGTAAAATAAAATCTGTCTTTATAATAATGAAAGAGTTAATTGCACACATACATAATTATTTGTTTATTTAATAAATTGCAAAAGTTAAAAATCCACTGAACTATAAAAAAAAAAAGATTCCAAAAATATTTTACGATGATTCTGTTGCATCCTTTCTTACAGTTGGTGTAATTCTGCAAAGTCTTAAATAAACACTTTTATTTACCTTACTGTTAACAGGTATTAATTCCAGCAGAATCAGCTCATGGTTTAGGCGCCACATCGTTGGGGTCATCGGTCACTGAAAGCCAAGGAATCTTCATGGAAGCCATCGTCACTTTTCTTTTATTGCTGGTCGTCCATGCTGTAACAGATCCGAAACGAACGGACACCAAAGGATGGGCACCATTGGCTATTGGATTAACCATCACCGTAGCTCACATGGCTGCTGTTCCTATAACAGGAAGCAGCATGAATCCTGCCAGGACACTGGGTCCAGCAGTGATCCTGGATCACTGGGAAAATCAATGGATTTATTGGGTTGGACCCATTCTCGGTGCCTCTGTTGCTGGTGGACTTTACAAAATGGCCTTCAGACGAAAGAAGGAAGACGACGAAGCGTCCTATGATTTCTAAAAATGGAATCTAATTCGACTTGTCTCTTGTGTGAAAAAAAAAAAGAAACACACAACCGAAATTAGTTATGATACTCTGCAACCATAAACTTTGTAATATATTGGCGCCGGAAAAAAGTTTCGCGAGGAAACTTGCGAAATCAGAAAGTTCATCGTTCGGTTTGAGAAAAACTGAGATTAATATTGGTGGACGACGCGACTGACTTTGGATAATTTGAGGCTGGGAGAAAATGGACGTTCTATTTATTACATTGTACAGTTTAAGCGTTTTTTCGACGAATATTTAACGTGACTAGTTGTTTAATGGACTAAGTTCTTGCGTTTTATATACTATTAAAACTAATGATATTTCATAGTTGTTCAACTAAACTACACGACTATGTTTATATCATCGAGAATTTAACAGAATGAAATTACATGAACGCAAGAACTATTTTGTAATTTGATGTTAATTCTTTCCTATTCGTTTTCCATCCGTTTAAGCAGGAAAGAAATGTTTCATTTAGAAAACAGATTTCATTGTTAATGATATAATTAATGTAACGAATCTATCTAGTATTTGTTACATCTGCATCAGTAATATTTAAGGTAAATCTTCGATCCATGTTTGTTTGAAAGTGTAATATTTTGATTATAACAGTATTCTACATAAATCACGTTCAGTACGATATAATTTCGCTCTGTAATTTCATATTCTTCTTGGAAAGAAACTGTTTCTTGTACATTTCGTAAATCGTTTAAGTTTTGTACATATTGTACTTAAATTATTTTATAAGATACCGATTTCTAAATATATGATTTATATCGTGCACTATTTGCCAGTCATTTTGTTGTGCACTCTACAATTCGGGATGGTGATTTTAGAAACTACGCGAGTGATCTGAAACAGAATACTCGAAAACTTAAAAAAAAATACACGTTTGTAAATAAGTTCTAATCTTCTATATAAGCTCTAAATAAGTTCTAAACCAAAACTAACCCTTGAAATCTCGGTGAATGAAAAAACTTTTCATTTTTCAAGAACATTTAAACAGTATACAGTAACTGATGGCTAATAAGTAGTAAATGCGACACACCTCTACGCCTTACCATACCAAAAATAACGCAAACAGAAATAGATGAACGTATTACTGACTCGTTTCGTTGGACGGAACTTCCAGACGAAATAGATTTCAGTAGCTTAAACGTTGCCAGTAGCTTCGAGGGTCATCGACTGGTGCCGTGTCACTCGGAATACACCTTTAATCAAAATTCATAAAGAACCATCCAAATTCTCCATACCTCAAGTAATCGAAAAAGAAACCAAAACCAACTCAACCCTTGAAATCTCGGTGAATGAAAGAACTTTTCATTCAATAATATCAAAAACTTTCAAACTCCTGCCCGTCGTTAGGAGTATCTAATAAATAGTGAATAATTTGTAAATAAAATATAATGAACAATCGTGGATCAATTTTAAATAATATATTATAGTGTAAAAATTAATTTAAAGAGTATTAAAAATGATCAAGGAAGAAGGAAACGAAATCAGTGATTACTTTAGCTCGAATTTCTCCGAGCTACAAAATGCGATCAGCCCTCAAGAGATGAAAAAATTCAGAGCCTTAGATATTAATTCTGAAAGGATTGCCTTTTTATTGAGATACCCCGAGACTCACGTTCTGACATCAGAAGTGCCTAATGAAATGCTGAAGAGCAGCGAGAAAGCTATTCAACTTAAAGATATTGGAAATAAATATTTTGGACGCGGTGAATTTGTTAAAGCGCTGGAAACTTATTCGAATGCTGTCCTGTTAGCACCTCGAAAAGGTAATTAATCAATGAATACATTTGTAATAATTACTTTTCCTTGAAGTTTTTGAAAGCTATGTCCTTGTGGTCTTTCTAAAGGAAAATCCTTGCGGAAATTCTAAAAAGGGAAGGGCAAAACGGGTAGATAGGGGGGTGTTATTAAGGGTCCTGAAAAGGAAGGGTGCAAAATGGGAAGGGAAAACGTCGAGAGGTCTTGGCGATTGTAACGGGGAGGCACTCGTGTCACCATGTTACAATTTATAATGTAACTATTAATTTCTCAGATTTGGGTGTAATATTGGCAAATCGTTCGGCGACGCTTTATCATCTGGAGAAACACGATTATGCTTTGACAGATGTACGGGAAGCTCTACGCGCTGGTTACCCCCAAGAATTCCTGTACAAGCTCGAAGAAAGACGGGCTAGATGTTTGCTAGCTTTAAAAAGACACGACGAGGCTATCTTAGCATTTAGAAGCGCGTTAAAAGCTCTGGATAATGCGAAATTACCTTCAGAAAAGAAGCAGAAGCTGGAGGCGGATATGAGGGTGATGCTTGCCGTAATGGAAAAGGGTAATCAATTAGCTCAAAAAGCGCCCAAGGTTACCCAGAATAAGGATAAAATTGACGAGCAGAAGAAATCGGTCGCCAAGATCGAGGATGTCAATCCTTTGTATCTCTCTTGCAGCAAAGCTGTTGAAATAAAAGATGAAGGTGGTGATATAGGAAGACACGCTGTTGCTACTAGAAATATCGAACCTGGTGAAATACTTGCCGTAGAGAAATCACATTGTTCGTTTATTCTAGCGGAATACAGGTGTGATTTTATTTAATTTATGATTTTAGTTTTGAATGAAATCTGAAAGGAAAAATAAGTAATAAGTTCTGGATACATCATTTTATACCATCTGTTCGGTAATTAACTTTAATTTAATTTCAGACTTACGCATTGCCACCTCTGTATGAGCAAGATATTCGTGCCAATACCATCCAATTGTCAAGTATGCAGTTACCTAGCTTATTGCAGTACTTCCTGCAGGGATGCGGATCAAAAAGTACACAAAAATGAATGTACAGTACTACCCAGTTTATGGATGTCAAAAACTTCTGTCACGTGTTTCTTAGCTTTAAGGACAATCACGCAAAGGCCCTTCGAAGAATTGATTAAATTAAAGGATAAGTTAAAATCTTCAAAGGGTAGATTCGAAGTTTCAGCACAACAGCCTTATCGAGCTGATGATTTCGAAGCCTATTACGGATTGGGTAATTAAATTATTTTGAATGATTCAACTATTAGTTTGCTACTTTACATATCACATACTACGTACATTCGTGTTTCACTTTATACAGTAACCCATGAAGAAGAAAGAACGGCTGAAGATGTTCTCCATAGAACTTACATAGCTGTCTGGTTACTGAGGTTGTTAAAAGCAGGCCCTTATTTCCCGGAAGATGTTAAAACTCCAGACACAGCAGAAGCAAAGCCATCCGAGGGTGAATTGTTCATAGGTGGTCTAATTTTACATAGTTTAATGTTGCTGCAATTCAATGCTCACGAGGTGAATCATACAACAAATTTATTGACATCAATTATAGATAACAATAAAATGCTTGTGTTTATCCTTCTTCATTTTATTTTCCATATTTTTAGATATCAGAATTAACAATACCAAGAGGCGAAAAAACGTTGGCAAAAGCTAAAAGTATTTTCATAGGGGGTGGTATCTTTCCGACGATAGCACTGTTTAATCATTCATGTAATCCTGGTATCATTAGGTACATCTAATTACTAATTACTGATCAAATTAGACCCAAGTATTACAAATTATTAAACTAAAAATTTAATCAATTTTAATAATCATACGATTATTGTAATTTAATTAACAAAATGTTTCTATGGCTCAAAATGTTTAATGGGAAGAAAATTATAATTGTTACTTGTAAATATATAGATACTTCGTCGGTACTACTATGATTGTTCGAGCAGTCCGTTCAATTGCCAAGGGGGAAGACATCTCTGAAAATTATGGTCCAATTTTCACTGTAACTCCTGAAGCTGAACGAAAAAGGACACTAAGATGGCAATATTGGTTCGATTGCAACTGCGAAGCCTGTACGGGTCATTGGCCTGTTTTGGAAGAAATTGATCCAACGATTTTAAGGTAGAATTTTATAAAAACAACTTACTCCCGATCGAAGATGTCCAAGGGTGTTCCATTTCCATATTTTTTTTTAGATTTAAATGCGAGACTGGAGCAGAATGCGGCAATATTCTACCTGTAAGAACTGATACCAACGAATTCATGATCAGATGTCTAAAGTGTGGCAAGAATACGAATATTTTGAAAGGTTTAAAAGCTTTACAGGACACTGATGTGCTTTTCAAAGTTGCTTCTAATAATCTTGAAGAAGGGAACCACGTTGAAGCGTTAGAATCCTATTTGAAGATTCTAAAGCTTTTAGATGAAACTCTTGCTTTGCCTATCAGAGATTATCATATTTGCCAGCAGGGTGTTCGATTATGTATGCTTCCTCTAGGTAATTGCAGTTATATTTAAGGTGATGCGAGCGTCGAGGCCGAACTTCCAATTCCGCGTCGGTAAAACAGGCCATGTTTGATCGAAAATGAACAGAAACTGATTTAAGCGCCACCTGAATTATTGCATCCAACTAACGGCATGCTATACTACGTTACCTTTCGCAAATACTTAAATGACACATGTATGCTATATGTATAAGTACATAATTAAACAATACTGACCATGCATTCATTATTATTAATTTTCTTCCCGTAAAATTGTATTTGCAATGTGGTACACTTCAGAATCTTAAAGACATAGTTCCTGAAAAAAAAAACATAACAGCGATTAAATAGAAAAAAAGCATTTTCGCAGCCAATTCGCTCGTATTATTTGCTGCATAATTAATAAATATACCATAGAAATAATGATACAGTTATTAATTAGTCAGCAAATAATAACGATTGCCCAGGTCTCACCACGGGGAGGTTGCTGCGGGTGGAGACCCGCCCTACCTCATCCCATCCACCCTTCCATTTATGCAAATTTTTATTTTTATTCAATACCGTCATCCTTTTGATGCACATTTGCAAAACGTTTTTGACTGTTGTGCAAACGAACAACAAAAGGAGCATTATTTTTATTCACTACCTACCTATCTACTTATCTATACATATATTTACGTAGATTTTTTTTCCTATGCTTTTTATTCCTATCGCAACAATTTTTAATTTTGATTTTGATTACAGATCTG